TAAACTGCAAGACTGAAGCACAATTTACAGACAATGGTTGTGTTTGTAGCACATTTAAATGACAACGTTTGAAGGTTTTTCTCCTTTTACGTGAACTGAAAGTGTTTCCGTGTCTAAGGTAGAAACACACTCAGCGTCCAACAGCAGCGTTCAAACTGGAAAATCTAAAAACTTTTTTCTCTTTCTTGGAGCCGAAAACAAGAAGAACATTAACAACAGGCTGTTGGACGCAAACAAGACACAAAGCATCAAAAATGAGACGCAAAACAACCCAAGTGAGACACAAAATGACACAAATAAGGAGATAACACAACAAAAGAAACAGACACAGCGCCACAAATGAGACACGAAAATGAAATATGAGAGAAAAACAAGACACAAAACCACAAATGAGACACAAAATGGCTCAAGCCAGACAAAAAATGAGCCAAATGAAATACAAGAGAACAACAAGACACAAAACAACACAAAATGTACAAGAGAAAAACGAGACAAAGACAGAAATGAGACACAAAATGACGAAAACAACACGCAATACAACAAAAATAAATAGCCAGAATGACCAAAGTGATGTACAAGGCAAGGACAAAACACAAACTGACAAAAAGGAGACATAAATAAGACACAAAACAACAAAAAGGAGACCCAAAATGACACAAAAGAGACACAAAACAACAAGAAAATGAGGAAAAAGAAAGACTAAAGTGATTTCCAAGAGAAAAACGAGACACAAAATGACAGAAGCAGGACATAAATGAGACACAAAACAACAAAAACAAGATGCAAAATGACACAAAACAACAACAAAACAAGACAAAATGACCAAAGTGGTGTACAAGAGAAAAACGAGACACAAAATGATGAAGACGAGACGCAAAACAACAAAAAAAATGAGAAAAAGGAAGACCAAAGTGATGCACAAGGCAAAGACGAGACACAGAATGACAGAAGCAGGACATAAAGACACAAAACAACAAAAACACGACAGAAAACGACAGCTGTGAGACACAACACACTACAAACAAAAGAACACAACATGGACACAGCATCTTATTGTGAAGTCTCGTCGGCGTTCTAAACCGTCTGTCATCAGTTCTACAGTAATTAGTAAATGACAACTATAAAAACCTTGTTATGGTGCAAGAAAGCAACACAAAGCTGTGTTAGTGAGTGAAGAAGTTGCTGCTGCACTTCATTCCCATAGTTGCACCTTCAAAATAAGAGCTCGTCCCACACATGGAGACGCTTCAGAGAGGGACGCTGGTGAAACTTCAGGGTCTGGGGGAGGGAAGGTGAGGCCTGGAGCTGCCTTCACCTTTGTTTAGAGACACAGAGGGGGCTCTGTCCCCTCACAATGGGACTCAGAGAGCGGTGTGTGTGTCTGTGTGTGTGTGTGTGTGTGTGTGTGTGTGTGTGTGTGTGTGTGTGTGGGAGGCGGCGTTGCTGCGAGCCACACCCCGGCTGATTGGCCGAGGCCCCACCTCGCTGTGGAATCCGCTGGGGCCGGTCACATGGCAGCCAGCAAACACACTGTCTGCTCAACAAAACGACGACGCAATAAACACAAACATGCATCAGGACGGCTGTAAAAAAACAAAGCCGGTGCCGTTCTAGTCGTAAACGCCTTTAAAAAAAACGACTAATATTCATAATTATAACGACTCAGATTGTTGTCGCGTTTTAACCTCGAGGCCTCGTAAATCAACAGCCGTGAGCCAGAAATCGGATTTTTAAAAAGTGCCGCTGCTGACAGAACCACATTTTTAACACGGTGACCTGAAACTGCTTTTACAGCGAATATCCTGGAATACTTTCCCTTTAAACGCCTCAAAGGGCAACACGAGCTGCAGGCGTTGCTTCACAGTACCTGCACCTTTCACTGCTTCACATTCCCAACGTATAAGAGGCTTTTTTTCCCCCCTGCTGTGATGATGTGATCATTTTTATTTAAATTTTTTATTTTTGCAGATTTAAAGGTGTTTAAAAAATGAAAATAACATGCAGTAATTGGCCGTATAAATTAATAATTTTTTTAATTAATAAAAAAAGGATTCACTATTTTATTTTTGAAAATTTGAAAAATGTCATCAAATGTGTATATATATATTATAAATTCTTGTTTCTTCTTTTACAAAATCTGACCATGAAATCTAACTATTTGACTGCATTTTAATAAATAAAATTATCGTTATTTTGCAGATGCTTGCTGTTTTGTGAAGGGAAAAATAAACCGCGTGATCTTTTTCTTTCAAAAAACTTTATTTAAAAAAAAAAAAGATTCCTGTTTTGTTAAATTACAGATAATAACGAGGAAAAATCAGTGAAAAAAGTTCATATTAATTTAGGTGTTTACTGTAATAATAGAAAATAAAACTGGCCCATTAAAATCAGTATTTTACAAATAATAATGTAAAAATTACACATTTTACTTTATTTAAATAAGCTTAAAATAGCATTATTCTTTATGTATTGGCTGTTATTTTTACAGTTTCTACATTTTTTTTCTTATTTAGTGTTAAAGTTTGATTCAACACATTAATAATTTGACAATAACTCATTTTATTCTACTATAGACAAAATGCAAATGCTTTTATTTTGAAATGGTGTCATGAACTTTTTTTTTTGCACATTTCTTATAAACTTTATTTCTGATGCAACATATTTCAGCTCTGGTTTGCCTGCGAGGCGTAGAGTAAGATGTCACGGAGTTCTTCTGAGAGACAAAAACTGTGAGAGATTCCTCTGAAGCGTCGCGTCCGACTGCTTCGCACGAGGAAGAAAAACAGCCAAGAGAGCTTCTTTTTTTGTGTGTTTTTCGTGATAACTTCCACTTCCACAAATCAGCGGGTCGTGACCTGGTAGTAAGCTGAAATACGGAAACAAGTGGGGCAACAAATAGATGCGGGCGTTGCAAGAGGAAGCAATAAAATAATGAAAACATAGATTAAACTTTACTTTCTTGCATTTTTTTTATTGGTTGTGTCGCAGTTTTTGGAAACAAAATTAGGTTGAAAGACTGATTCTGCAGCTTTAAAATCCCTCTCCGGCCACTGATTACACCCCAAAAGCTCATTTCTGTGCATCAAAGGTACATTTGTAGAGTTAAAATCCTTCATTTCTGCCCTGAAATGCTTTAAATGTGAATGTAAACAGTGTGAATGTGTGGTTTTGAGGCAGTTTTAAGATGGAAATGCTCAGCCAAGGCGTTGAACTGCTTATTTCATGAATAAAGCATATAAATAAACATCATATGGGATGTTAATTAGTTAAAGAAGCAATGAGTGTTTTATCGTCTTGACAGTTTTCGTAACTTTATAGCGATTAAAGTCATTTTTATCAACCGAAAACAAACATTACAATTTCCAGCTGTTGTAATTTAAGGTATTTTGTTGTATTATCATGTTAGTTTCTATTGTTTAATTGAAGATTGAACACATCTCACTGATTTATAACAAGTCAGTTTGCAGTTCACTTCAGCTTTAAGGCGATTTAATCAAGTTTAACGTAGAACAGACGAGAAAAATGTGGGTTTTGCATTTAACGTTTGGCTGTTTGTCAAAGTAAAGCCTCATTTCTGGATCACATAAACAGTAAAAGGACACGTTTCAAGTCCGTTTCTGACATTTTTATGTCGGCTTGTTTGGATTTATTCTCCAGTTGAATCTAATTTTATTTAGAGGCAACAGCGTTCTTGTGTTTCACTGGTATTTAACTAAAAAACGAAATAAAAGACGAGTAGAAATGATGTTTTTCAGCTTGTTTGGATTTATTCTCTCCGACTTAGAGAAGACAAAAACATCGGCGGCTTGTGTTTAACCGGCTTTTAACTTCTGATTTTTTTTTTAAACGAGTCAAAATCGTGTATTTGTCAAAGAAGACTGTTGAGAAAAGTGTGTCACCAAAGTGTTATTGTCAAAGTAAAAGGACACATATGACGTCTTGTTTGGATTCATTCTCTCCAACTGAATCTCATTTTGTTTAGAGACAACACGGCGGCTTGTGTTTCACCGATATTTAGCTGAATTACAAAAGAAGAGCAGAAATCGTGTGTTTTTAAAGTCTCGTCGGTCTCGTTGGGATTCATTCTCCTCAGATAGGACCACATTCTTTGGCGGCTTTCGCTGAACAGGAGTCGAAATTACCGTCAGAGGAAAGTGTCAAAAGTTGTTTTAAAAATCCACCTTAAGCTCCTAAAATATGTAGGTCAACCGATGTTCAGTGACTCCTGCGAGTAGATGATTTACATCTGGTGAGCTGAGCAACAACAAAAACTGTGTAAGTTGTTTAGTAGTTTTACTGGAGAGGATTTAGAGAGGGAAGAAAAACGGGGAGAAAATTGAGACAGAAAAGAGGCGAAGGGGTGTGTTGCATTTACTGAAAGTGTGTGTCGAGTCCCTCGGCCTTGGCACTCCTCTCTCTGTCTCTCTCTCTCTCTTTTTCTTCCCCGCTTGGTGTCTCTCGCCCGCTCGCTCGCTCGGCTTCCAGAAAAGGGTGTGTCGGCCTGGCTGCCGCTGAAAGGGAGGGAGGGGTCAGCTCACGGCTACTCCTCCCTGCTTCGCTCACTCTTATTTCTCTTTCGTTCTCATTCCCTCACTGGCAGCCTTTAGGATCAGGCCTTTGTCTCTCTGCCTCCTCTTGTCTCTCTGCTGTGATTCTTTTTTTCTTATTTATGTAAAAAAAAACAACAACCAACCAAACAGTGTTAGTGTTTGTGTTTTTGCCCCCTCTTCTGGCAGATTTTCAGGCTTTTAGAGGTGATTCTTCTAGGTTTTTTTTTTTAGTTTTTCTTTTAACTTCTTTCTCCTCCTCTGTTGGAAGTTTTTTTTTTTTTTTTTTCTTCTTCCCACCCTTTCCTCTTCCTCCCTCTCTGCCGCTTCTCCCCATCCCCTCCCCCCTTCACTTCCCTCTTATCACCTCCTCCTCCCCCTCCTCACTACCTTCTTGTATGTATGATCAACCTTCCTCCTTCTAACCTCCCCTCTCCTCCTCCTCTTCCTCAGTGCCAGTCGACTCCAAAGCAGAAGAAGAGTGCTGTCAGCGCCCGGAAGAAGCAGAGGAGCCCGGCCAAGCAGAACCAGCAGCAGCAGCAGCAAACGCCGCCGCCGCCGCCGACGTCACCTCCTCCGGCCCAGGAAGAGGAGGAGAAGAAGAAGAAAGAGGAGCCGGCGACCAGCAGGCCTCGGCCGCCGCAGGGGGAGGAGGAGGCCGAGGAGGAGCTGAAGGAAGTGGCGACGGAGCCGGTGAGGGTGAAGGAGGAAGAACTGAGGAAGGAGGACGAGCAGGAGAAAGACATGCCCTCCGTACAGATCAAACCAGAGCCAGAAGAGATGGAGTGCACGGTGAGGAGGAAGGGGTGGGGATGGAGGAGGTGATGGACGGATGGATGGAGGAGAGTCGGGTGGGCGTGAGCAGGCGTGGCCGTCGGACGTGTCCGAGCTCGTCGAGTTCACCCGCAGGCTTTAAATCCGATGGTCGGATGTTGCTACACATCTGGCATCGAGGAGCTTCACACTGAGTCAGAGGTGACGCTCCACCGAGTGTCAAGGCGTCAAACGTTCGGACTCGCTCGTAGAGATCTAATCAGTTAAATTCATAATTGATTCAATCAGCAGCAAGAATCTTTCAATTGAGTATGTTGATCTGTCGAGTTTCATCTCCAGAAATCGAGCACAGTTGTTCTTTTGTTAAATTACAAGATGGAGCAGCAAACATGGAGGCAACATTCACTCAGATCTTAAAAGAAAAGTTAGGTCAAGTTAGCAATTAGCAAAAGTAGCACAACTCTAGATTCAGATCACCAATCGGAGTCAAACGTAATCAGTTAAATTTATAATTGATTCACTCGGCAGCAAGAAGCTCTCAGTTGGGTATCAATTGGTCAGATGTTGACGCTCATCTGGAGAGTTTCATCTTCAGAAATCGATCTTTTGTTGACACACAAGATGGAGCAGAAAACCTGGAAGCGAGATTCACTCAGATCTGAAAGGAAAAGTCTCGTTTGTCACAACTTGACCCTGACTTTCACAGTTTTCTCCATCGTTTTGCGGCAGCCAAGTTAGCATTTAGCAATTTAACTCCGGAGTTAGATCACGAGTCGAAGGCACATGTAATCAGCATAGTTAGCGTAGTTAGCATCAAGTGGCTTCAATTGAGTCACAAATTATGCTCAACTGAGACTCAGTTTGTTAAATGTTGACGCTCGTTTCTAGAGTTTCAGATTCAGAAATTGGTCTTTTGTTAAAGTACAAGACGGAGCAGAAAACACGGAGGCAAGATTCACTTGAAATTCAAAGTTAGGTCAAGTTAGCAATTAGCAATTTTAGCACAAGTCCAGATTCAGGTCACGAATCAAAGTCAAATGTGATCAGTTAAATTTATAATTGATTCAGTCGGCAGCAAGAAGCTCTCAGTTGGGTATCGCTTGTCAGATGTTGACGCTCATCTGGAGAGTTTCATCTTCAGAAATCGATCAGAGTTGTTCTTTTGTTAACGTACAAGATGGAGCAGAAAACATGGCGGCTAAATGCCGACCGGAGTCAGTTTAAATCGCTCAGATCTTAAAGGAAAAGTTTTGTTTGTCACAACTTGAATCACCTTTTCATAGTTTTCTCCACCACCTGTCAGCAGTAGCAACGTCGTACCGACCAATTCAATGGTTAAAGTTAGCATTTAGCAATGTTAGCACAACTTTAGCATCACTTGTCAAAGTCAAATGTAATCAGTTAATTTTAGACGGAATCAGTCGGCATCAAGACGCCTTAACTGATCATCAGTTTGTCAAACACTGACGCTCATCTGTAGACTTTCATCTTCAGAAATTGATCCTTTTTTATTATCCAAGATGGAGGCGTGAACATGGCGGCAAAATGCCAACCAGAGTCAGTTTAGATCTTAAAGATAAAGTCTTGTTTGCCACAACTTGAATCATCTTTTCATAGTTTTCTCCGTCATTTGTCTGTTGAAGTAGCTTCCTACCCACAAAGTTAATTGCTGAAATCTGGGCATGTGTCAACATTGCTAAATGCTAACCACTCGAGCAGACAGACAACCAGATCAACCAAACTTATATTCCAAAGAAAACAAAAGCAAACAGCACTTTTTTTTTTTAAACCCACAGTCACATCCATCACAGTCAACCGACGGCCTCCTGTTTCAACTTTATCCTGTGCAGAGATTATTTTTAGTTTAACCTTCAAAGATAGTGATTTGGTTTCACTTCCTAAAGAGCAATTATCTGACTGTTTGATATAAATAAGACCCAAGTTGTAAGAAATTTAGAATTTTCTTGTGTAGTCGCTGACGACTCGTGGATCAGGAGGGTTTTTCTTTTTTATGTTATAACGGGATCTGTGTTGGTGAAACAAGTTGTCTCAGGTTCCGACGTGATGAAATATGACTCAGGAAGTCCAGTTGGAATAACAGATCCTTAAATGTGAAACCTTATCGGACTCCTAAACACCGCACGGCTTCGCTGCTCGGCAAAGTCCTCGTGGGAGCGATCGTTTTATCTTCTACCTCCGACGTAAGAGCAGGAACGCAGCGATCGTGTTATCTGCCTGCTCTTTTTTTCCGATGTCATGTTGCCTGTCTGACTTAAATCCTGACGGCGATCGGCTCGATTCGGACTTTTGAAGGTCCGAAGCAGAATCCTAAACTTCACAGAGCAAATGCACAAATCTGCAACGCATTGAGTTCATGAGGTCGTCGATGCTGCTTGTGGAATGTTGTCCGACTGTTCTTTGAGGACGTTGTAGGCGACAGGATCACGTTTTCGGACATCCGGAGTCATCAGCGGAGATGACTGACTAGTAACCGACAGCGTGCCAGCAGCCGGTTCTCGTCTTTCTCTTGTCATCGTCATCATTTGAATGAAGCCGCATTTTAAGGCGGCGTTTTATAGTCGCTGCTCTAAGGAGTGTCTGTGGTCTGATCATTGTCCTTTGGAGCCACACCTGACGAGGGTGTGGATCGACTCAGTGGTCAACAACTTGTCACCAGTCGAACGGCTCAGAAGCTTTTCACCGGCTGAATTCATAGAAGAAAAGAAGACTTATTACATTCTGGTTTTATAGTTTACTTCAGATTATCCCGGCTGACCAGTCGATACCGATGCAGGCTGAGAGTAGCGGCGTCAACTTCCTTCACCTGCACGATAACGATCAGCATTCGTTGTAAACATGTCAGTAACCACCTGAGCAAATACATTAATAATCCGCCTGGCGTTGTTTTGCAGTTTAACGGCGACGTGTGCTCTTTATGGATGCCCAGGTAGTAAAGGTCAGCGCTGAGTTTCTGTTTTCAGATCCACTTTTTTGTGTTTAGCCTGCTGACCTGATTCAGGATTGAAATGGGCAGAATTATTGGGTGACACCAATCTTTACGTGTCCGTCTCTGATTTATCACGTCACAGCAACTCCCGGTCGAAGCTTTCTGATGATTGCTTTTAAAAACAGTTTCACCTCGAGATCTTTGCTCTCTATTTGCTGTTCTTCCACCATTCAGCTAAGCAACCAGCCTTCTACTTCCTGTTTACGCTTGCACGCACGTGCTCAGTGTGTGCTCATGTGATTTTCTGGCGCCTTGGCACGGACAGAGAGTGGAGCTAAAACGCTTCTCAGGATGGATGTTTGCATTTTAAAACACTGTTTGATGATGAGTGTGGATGTGGCCTCGTATCTTCATGTGAATCTGTCGTCTTCAGTTATTGCTAAAATTACATTTTTGGCACAATTTCAGACTCGGATCAAACTCAGATGTAGTCGTTTATGTTGAACCAGTCATTTTAGATGTTTTCTGCTTATTAAATGTAATTGAAATCGACCAAACCTGATTAAAAGCTTTACAGATTTCTGCCTTTTTGACGTTGACTAGCTCATAAATGCCCCAAACTCCTGAAATGTTAAAAAAAAATTAGAATGGTCCCTTTCTGACACTGACTTCTTCTGTTGAAGAACACCAAATTCAACCTGCTTCTAAACTGTGTGAACTTCCTGCATCCCGTATCATGATGAGATGTGCGCTCAGTCGTGACGCTGCATCGCTCAATTGTTCCACTCCCGTCAGAATTAGCCGGGATTTAATTTTCTGAAACCGTATTAGAAGCAGGGAGTTTCCCATCAGTAAAGCTGGAGGATGCGGAGGTCCTGATGGACGGGGAAGGACGGAGCGTGATGGAAATCCCGGGTAGTGGATTGGTGGGCGGAGCGCAGGGTGAACGATGACCTGATGATGAATAGATGGAGTGAAGGAAGCGAAAGGAGCTAAATGATGGAGGAGCGTCCGGAGAGATGAATGAGGTGAGCGCCGCAGGAGGGCGAAGGAGGGATGGATTGATCCGAGAGCGGCGGATGATTTGTGTTTATGGGGAGGAGGAGGGTGAAGTCTGGATGGTTTAGGACAACTCTTGAGCGAGATCTTCCTCTTCTGCTCATCCCTAACAAACCACAATCCTAACTTCTTTGGCAGCTTGAATCTTGTTTTCCAAGGTCAGAACTGCCTCTTTTTAGATGAGAAAGGAAAGCTTTCAGTTAATCGGTGAGGCGTTTCTTCTTTTAACTGATCAATAGTTTGGTGACAAATGTCAGAACACAGCTCCATAGAGGCCTGGATGGTGTCTCGTAGCTTCGTTAGCTCAAATCCTCCAGATACTCTCAGTTTCACGAAGCTAAAACCAAATAATGTTCGTCATTTTTACTTTATTTATCTAATAAGTTCTCCAGTCTTTGGTTTAGCTGTTCTGCAGAGCGCTTACAGCCAGTTAGACAGTTGCCGGATCAGTTTTTAAATCCCCAGACATTAAAAGTGAATGAGGTCTCACTGCTGGAGAGCCTTTGAGCAAATTCGAGCGGATAAATGAACTGAGGTGTGGATGTGAGGCGAGGCAGCTCAGAGGACACATAAAGATCAGGATGCTGCTCCGATGACGTGACGCCGGGAAAAGTAAGCGAGCCGGAGGAGCGAGCCGGAGGAGCGGTCCGGACCGATGCTGCTTCTGCAGAAAGTCACTTAATGCACTTTGCAAAGAAAAGGCTCCACGTGGTGAAGCGTGTTGATGTCAAGCAGCGAAAACCGACCTCTTGTTTGCTTTAATCCTCAGCAGCTTTGAGGCGGCGCATCGGCAGAACGAGTTCCGTCAAACGAACGGCGAGGAGGTCGGAGGTCGCCGATGTGACCTGTCGACGGGACGTATGAATCGTTTCAAACGGAAAAAGCTCCTCGAGAAACCAAACTCCTGCCCGGGTTCCCCTGCGCATCGCCTGAATTCCCCCGTGGCTTTATTTCCCAGGATCAAAATATTTTGGTCTGACCGCTCGCTAATAAATTACACGAGCCGCATCTC